ATTATTATTATTGTTATTATCATTATATTATAATTTTTGTATTTCAGCAACACACAGCTCTTAATAGCGTCTTTCTCTTCTTTCTCTCCTCAAACAACTTCTCAACAATACAACAGACACCTACCTACCCATTCATTTTTCTTACGATCTCTCTGTGATGGAGTTGGGTTTTTGTTTGTGGCGTTGCACCTACAGCCACTGCTTTATCTCCTACCCCGGGATGGAAGGAAAATTACAGAACCACCAGTTTTAGATGCTATTCACAAATGATAGATTCCCATACGAGCTGAGACGCCGCCTCGGTAATCAAGGTCTCCCCCAGGTCTTAGTGGGCAACCAAGCTGGCCTCGTGGATGGTTATTGGAAGAAAAAGAAAATCAGAAAGCAGAGAAAATGGAAAAACAAGAAGAAAACACCCCTACAACTGGTAACGGAAAAGAGAAGCTTATAGACTTCAATATTCTTCAGGCAAATGTCTGTGGCTTGGACAAGAAGAAAACACAATTGGGGAAAATTTTGTATGAAAGGAAAGTCCACATTGCTCTATTACAGGAAACTCTCCATTCATCCTGTGACATATACATCACTGGGTATACCCCTTATCCATGTAAATGTGAAGGTTGCCAAGGGATTATAACCTATATCAGAAATGACATCCAGGGTGAAGTAGAGCTCCTTAATTGGCTCCCCACAGACGCACATAAAGTCACCCTGTGGTATGGCAACAACAAGCTCATTCTTTATAACATCTATTGTCCCCCAAGTAGCACTCTGAACTTCATGGAACAGAGCACTATCTTTAAGAAGACGGTCATAGCTGGTGACCTTAATGGACTCTCCCCCCTTTGGGACTATGCAGACCAAAACAACACAGGTAAGAGGATTGAAGAACTATGTCAGTCCTCTAACCTCATCCTTCTTCAAGATGAGGATTCAACTAAAACACTTCTTCATAGGAGACATGGGACCTCCACAGACCAGATCTCACCCTGGTCTCTGCTGATTTACACAACTACTGCAGTGAAGAGGTGCTAGACAGTATATCTAGTGACCATCGTCCCGTTCTCACCAAAATCAGTATACTGGAACACAGACAAAGGAAAAGAAGAACCCGTTGGAACTTCAAGAAGGCAAACTGGGATCTCTTCAGAAAAACAGCTGAGGACACCGTTAAACTGGATGATCTAGACAATAAAAGTATAGACGCCCTTAATAGTGAACTCACCCCCGCCATCTTATATGCTGCAAAGAAGAGTATCCCACAGGGGTGCTGAACCAACTATAAACCCTTTTGGAATGAGCGCTTGGAGAAAGCTACAAAAACTAAAAATGATGCCAGACATGAACATTAAAAAAATATGGACACGAAAATTAGATACAAAAAGGCCGTAGCAGAGGCTAAACTTGTCACCAAGGAATCTAAGAAGGAAGCCTGGACACAGAAGTGTGAGGGACTCAATTTACATCAAGGTGGACGTGAAGCTTGGTCACTTCTAAATAACCTCACTGGCGAAAAAAGGAAAGAAAACCCCAAACCACTACACACAGAAAACGAAGTTCTCACCAGCGAGTTAAAAAAAGCCGAACACTTTAATAAACATTTTGCCCCCCCTTAACAAAAGCAGCAAAAGGAATGACCTGGACAGGGGTCTACTGAGTGTTCTGAAAAGAAAAGAGAGAAACTTTATGGCACCGAGTATCTTCCAGGACTTCTTAACAGGTCTGTTCTAATTGTTGTCTTGGGGAGTAGAGGCAATTAGGTGTGTGGGGTAGCTTGGGAAGAAAACATCACTATGACACTATGACTATCATCACTATGACACTATGACTATCATACAGCCAACCCATCACTAGGCCTAAGCCTGTTGCGCAGCCACTCCTCACCGACTGCGGCCTGTGAAATTCACACAAATACTGAGCCATTAGAAACTCGAAGAAAACAGGCAGCTTTAGAAGTATATGAAAGATCTAAAAGGCTAGAAAATAACCACTCTAATAGAATTCTTGTTGACAAGTGGAAACCTAATCAAAGACTAAAAAATACAAAATCTGTACTTGAGACTGTCCTCAATCTCCAAGAAAAACATCACCTCCCCGAAAGACGAGAACCCCTGAAAAGAGTTCCCTCAACTCTCCCACCACATCTCACCATAGCAAAGCCAGAAATTAGGAAAACACTTTTGGACAAGAGCAATAAAAACACATATACTGTAGCACTAAAATATTCTGCCCTTGAAACAATTGATTCCTATCCACCAACATGTATCTACTCATACACTGATGGATCTGCCTTTAAGGCAACAATCAACGCTGGATATGGGTCAGTGATCAACTTGCCCAGTGGGATAAAAAAAGAAGTCTTTCATTCCAGCTGGTCCTTCTGCTCCAATTTCATTGCCGAACAATAGGCTATCGCCAACACAGCAAACTACATCAACCACTTGTTTGACACTAACCCACTTGTTATCACAGACATCGTTATCTTTACAGACAGCTTTTCAACACTAGAGACACTTGAGAGTGGGACTGATGTGACTTGATTTGGAGTCTAAATAATTTGATAAGTAGGCACCAAGTCAGAGTAGTCCTACAACTACAATGGATTCCTGCCCACACTGGGATACCGGGAAATGAAAGAGCTGATGCTCTGGCAAAGAAAGGAGGCTAGCTCCCCTCAGCCTGATATTCCTACTAATTACACCACCTGCTGCCAAATGATCAAGTCAAACCTCAAGGAAGACTGGATGAATGATTGGGCCACAGGCACGACAGGAAGGATGATGTATGGCCACATGAATAAACCACTGGTCAAAGATCCAATCAATGAGTTGAGGAGGGGAGATCAATCCATATCTTCCAACTTAGAACACAACATGTACCCCTCAATCAACATCTCAACCGAATTGGAGTAAAGCAGTCTGCTGCCTGCCCACTATATGTGACTGCACCTCAGAGACAGTGGAACATCATCTGTTCTTCTGTAGAAAAGTAACTGATTTAAGGTGATGTTTTCTTCCCAAGCTACCCCACACACCTAATTGCCTCTACTCCTCAAGACAACAATTAGAACAGACATACAGCTATTACCGAATGGCATCATGCAGAAGTGTTAACGCTCAGATGCTACTGATCGCTAACAACAACAACAACAAAAAGGTCCTGGGTACACAGCAAAGATTCAATACAATTATGTTGCTCAAGGCGCTGCTCGTCTTGTTCGTGACGTTAATAACGAGCAAGCAAATTGAGCCGTCGACGCTTGCCTAATCTTGACTGCACCCACAGGTCAGCTTGCTAGCTTGTTCATGAGGTCACAAAGTCACAATACAGTCCCGCTATTGCCTTGCATGCAATGCTCAAGAAACAATGCATTTTCGTATCGAGCACATAATATAATGTAGATTTTATGACCCTAGCGTTCGATGTACACAACACGTCTGATCATTTCTCGATTCGGTTTAATGATCTAGGCTTATTCTATTGAGTGCTTGCCCCAACACTATGACTATCATATAGCCAACCCATCACTAGGCCTAGCCTGTTGCGCAGCCACTCCTCGTCTACAAATTGCGGCCCCACCAGCGTCCGGTGCGCCGAACTCAGGAGTCAGAGTGATTACCAATACATCTCGAGTCTATAGCAGACGAGAAAGTCTAGTGAAGCGTTTAAATCCACTGCTCGCAAAGGGGTCCGCTTGTGCCCTCTGCACTTGTGGGTAACGAATCAGTATCGAGTTCTTGCTGCACTACTACAATACAGACATTACTTTTCAGCCCACCCTAGTAGGTCCTACTTCTTTTATTCCCCTCTATTGTTTCTGTCTGTTCCGTCTTGCTTCCCCCCCCCCCCCCCCAACCTGTAAGTCTGTTTTGTGTCGATGTGCTTCTCTTTCTATTACAAACATTGGACAATGTCCGACCCTTTCCAGAATAGAAAGCAAATGGATTATAAAATAGATTACTGCAGTTGATGAGCCAAACTTGTCATGAAGGACATGTAACCATATAAAACAAATATACCATTTGGTTATGGAGAGAAAATGAAGCCCAAATACCATCGCTGACATGTGAGGCTCACACTGTCACACAGCAGTCTGCGAGACAGCTTGGGACTTCTTAATTTTTTTAAGTGGGTGTGTTTAAACCCCCCATGATACAATTAAAACATTTAGGAGGCAGGCTTTGACCCTGCTTCTCAGGGCCAATACGGGCTGAAAGGGATACAACATCCCAGCAGAAAGACTGAGAAACTTGATAAAAAATTCTTCTCACTCGGGAATCAAACTCGGGTCTCCTCTATGCGTGACAGAGAAGTGCCTAATTGCTACACCACAGATGCTGGTCAGCAGTTCCTTTTGTCATTTTGTTTTTCTAACAGAGCAAAGCAACCCCAACCACCAACAGTTTATACAGTTGCTTCCTGCAAATTGAGAAAGTAAGGCATTCAAATTAACTGGGGGGGGGGGGGAGGATTTTTTAAGTAAAAGATCTCGTTAACTTTTTAATTCTAAATATTCAACGTTTTAACGTCCCTATCGATATAATTTAAGGGATGGGCTGCTTTTAATTTGACCCTTCCTGTCGTGACAAACTCAGGCAGAGTGGGCTGCATTATTCCAGCAAATAAAAAGGTAGATGATTAAAAATTTTCCCAAGAGTTAATAGAATTCAAGTCTTTTCTGAGTGCAACAGCGACAGCCTTTTCATGTCACAAGTATGCTCACTGCCGGAAATTTGCATTTAGGATAAAAGTATTATTACGCGGTTGTCTTTTCAAGAAAAGTGCCTTTCCTTTCGCACTAGGTGGTTTCCATTAGTGAATGCCATCCCACAAAACTGAAAAAAATAACAGAGCAGCTCTATTTCTAGTGGAAAGAAATGTTTGACAATGCTTACAAATAATTATATTCTATTCCATTCTTGTTAACCTTAAGGTATTACTACAGCACACTGAACACTAATGTGGAATGATGCCAAATGACAAAATACAATCAAACCAAGTTGAAGTGAGAAACATTTTGTTTATTAAAAAAAGGCACCAAATCAGGCGTCTGTTTAGACTTCATAAAACAAATACATGTGAAGAGGAACTTAATCATGTACAAGAACAATGGTGTAGTCGCTACATGAAAGAATCAGGTAGATTGGTGAAAACAAATACGGTAGTCAAGCCTCAGGATTCCCAGAAAACATTTCTTAGTCCAATGCGATTGTTAAATAAAAAGCTTTACTAATTCCTCTTTGAAACAAACCGATATTTAAAACTACTGCCATAAAAAAAATTGATTGTGTTGTAGAAGCACTATAATTATTAGTGGGAAAACGACAACTGAATCCACGGGTGGATCGTCACGCTAGGTGTGTTTGGTCATGGTTTTAGGAGGGTACCTGGTAGGGTTATTCAAACGAAAACCCTTTGACTAGGAGAAACGGAAATGACCTAATTTTATTATTTTTTAATTTAAAAAGATGGGGGGCACTCTCTTTAAATAGCAGGCAAAATGATAAAATACAAAAGAAGCTGTAAGAAAAACAAAGTAAAAAATGGAATTACCAGACATTGAGCTGCTATTTTCTAAAACGAAACATTTTTTTAAAAGGCTCAACTGAAAGGCCGTTCTTTACCCAATACTGGTGTACATAGACCTAAATATAATGAAGAAATCTGTAGCCTATTTTCCTGGTCAATGGAAATATTCCAATGTGAAGCTCATTACCGGTCGAACTCGAAAGTGTTGCTCATCGTGTTACTCATTTTCAACCTGTCAATTTCAAATTCTCTCAATTTTCAAATTCAAGTCAATAGGCTGATCTAGGACAATGGCCGAAAGAAGAAAATCTATTCCAACCCAATCTTTGTTGCTTCCCTTGATTCTCTGACACAGCCGATGCCATAACACTGTTCACATATCCCTCCAACTAAGGATCCCTCGAACTACCAAGGCGGTCCCAGCGAATTCGAGCTATCCGTGTTATACTGTATAGGGAAACTGCTTTCCTGGTTAAGCGAAACATTTAGTTTTGAAGCAGACACCCCCCCCCCCCCTTCTTTTTTGCGCACAAGCTGGCTGACCTGACAATGGTGACCTTAAAAATCAAATGCGTTTGTTTTCAAGGCCGCAAGTCGGGCGATCCATTTGTGTTAGAGAACTGATCTCCCAACGGGTACTGGGTAAGACATTACTTGTCCCATTCTTGCAAACATATTTAGGCCTGTCAACAACATCACGAAGTTTGACTTTATGTAGGTACCACAAGTCTACGCTCGCGCTGTTTTTCATCCTCCATATATCGGCTCATAACTTTCCAATTGATACAAAATAAACAGGTTTGACACCAGCAAAACTTGTTTTAGTTTTTCTCTTCTTGTTGGTATATTGTTTGTCGGTTCGTTATTATGCCACAGTCCTCCATCAATAGACAGTCACGGCCGAGTCGGGCCGCCTTTGCTGGCTTTAGCGTAGTTCGGAAGCTCCAGTTTTCACCCCCCCCTCTCTTTGTTCAACTACTCATAACTTTTTTATTTCTCAATTGATTTTTTTTTTTTTGGGTGTTGTTCATGGTTTCACAAGCTCTACAGGATAAAAGTCTTTCCCTTGAGCTTTGAGCAAATGAAAATTTTCAATTGTGGTACCTACTTTATGGGATAATAAATTTTCACGTAACAGGCCTCTGAAATTGGTTTTATGTGTGTTGTACGCAAAAATTGTTCACTGAAAATCAGTAAAAAGCCATTTTCATACAATGTTAATAGGATTGAAATTATTCAAAGTCCCACGATTTCTCAAGTCTTTGTGTGCCTCTATATTGTTCTTGACTTCAAGAAGAAGTAATAAATGAGTATGTACACTGTCATGACATGATTGTGTGACAGTTCAAAGCCCTGCCTTTTTCCTTTTTTTTTTTTGTATGCTGCATGAAATTTTCTACTTTTTGAATGAATATGAATCTTGATAACTTTTGAATTTAATGTCTGATTTTAATTATTTGAACTGTGAATTGCATCATTTCTACAGCTCTATCTGATACAGTAAATAAAAACAATTTTCAGACAATTTGAAATTTTTCTTTGGGGTGCCTACTTTATGTGGAAAAGAAAAAACCCAAATAATACAAACGTTATTTTTTTTTTAAAACCAAGAAAGAATTAGACAAGGTTTTTGGTTTCCCTATTAGCTTCATTGGAATTGAATTCTTTGGAAGTGAAACTATTGTTATGTCACTTTGCTGCAGGGACAATAAAAGAAACAGAACAAGCAGACCATAAGAAAACATCATCACAAGGTGGGTAATGCTCATGATAAGTGACCTTTAGGAAAACCTATATGTTCTGATGTGGTTGCATTAAGTGCAGAACCTGTCGCCACTCGGATGTTACGTCAGTTCACAATAATTTTGCCTGAGCTTGGCATCACACAGCTGGAGCACATGGGAGTCTTTGATTTGATTTTGTTCTATAGCATCACATTCTGTTCTCATCAAGCGTCCACTTCAAATCCGTCATCGTCAGCCCTTTGTCGCTTAGACTTCTGAATGTTGGCCATGATAATGCCGACAAACATCACAACCCCTAGGTAGAAGTTACCCCGAAAAGTTTTGGCGCAGTCATCAGCACTATTCAGATCAACCGAGTATGTCTGAAAAAGGAAACAAAAACCACTTTAAACATAAGAAAAGTTAAAAAAACAAGATGCACAAAAACCCAACCCCCCCGCCCCCTTCTCTTGCCTTCAAACCTCCAAACTCCATAACGAGTACAAGCCATCAAAAAAGTACTCCAAAATATGTCTGTCCTATGAATCTTTCACTTCTAGAATTCTAATGAGGTTGTGGGTTCAGAGGTTCAAAGCTCAGATCGGCTCAACGATGTATTCTTGGGGAACACAATTTTCCTCACTTCACCAAGTGTGAATGGATATGGACATACACAGCAAAAGATCTTGTCAGTGTGTTAGTGATTTAGAGCCTGTAAAATGGAAGCTTGCACTGTATGCTTCCAAGGAAGTTGAGATGGTTTCAGAAAGCTATCAGGTCTGCAGGGGAAAAAATATACAGCTCACTGTTGAGCAAGAATTTGCGCCATACAAAAATATCATTTATTATTGTCATCATCATCATCATTATTATTATCATCATCATTATTTAGACTAGTGTCTCGGCTTTTGCCTCTATCTTTCTCTCCCTTGTTCTTGGTTTTCCTCTGCTCCTCTAACCATCTCAGAAGCCTTTCAAGTTTATACTTGTCACTCACCGATTTACTAAACATATGCAAGTCTGATCAATCATGATCTTCTCTATCATGTTGCTTCCTTTTTTATCTTCCTTTTAATGGGCAATAGTTCCTCAAAGATGATAAAGTCAAACCATCTCAGTCCAAAAGTCTGTTTCAAGTGTCCACACAAAAAACACTCAATTGGAAAGGATAAGACTACAAACTATCACTATAACTTCAAAAACTTTTAGATAAGACATGCTCACTGCAAGGTTTAAAAATTAATTCTAATTGACGAAAATGAAGCAAATTTTTCGTGACCATGTGCGCAATTCGACTGCTCAGCGTAAGACTCTGTAATACCTATATCATTTTTCAAAATGGATTTTGGCAGATTCTTACATGAAACAGTTGATTTTAAAAGTGCAATTAGAAAATTCAATAAAATACGGTCAAGATATACAAATAAAAAACACCCAAAAATGTTCCAAGTGTACATATTATTATCATAGGTACCCTTTGTTGTTATTACTTGATGACCCAGCCACTCCAGGTCATTAGCCCATTCTTGTATGACCTTGTGAGTCAATAAAAGACCTGTGTAGTAACTGATGAATCAGAGTGATGGCAAATCTTTTTAGTAAGAGTTTTATGGCACTTGCAACACAATAAGGTCATATAAGTGCTGAAGAATAGAGGTGTTACAAGAGAGTAACAAAACAAAATAAAAGGAAGGGAGAAAAAGATGATAGATGTTTGATAGGAAAGAAGGAGCAAACCACACCAGAGCACCCGCCAACCACCCATGATGGCAAATCTAAACTCTTTTTACTCTTTCAGGACGTAGAGCAGACACATGTGTCCAATCAGCAGCAGAGAGAGGAAATGTTTCGGCACATTTTGAACCATCATTCTCAAATCAGAAACACGAGTTTGCATACTTCATGGTATGCATGTTGTTGTATGCCTTTTAAAGTTTCAGATAAAGAAAACGAATTCGCAAAATCTGTTTAAATAATACTAAAGTTATGCCTCAAAACAGAACATTAAAGCATTGTTGAATGACCAGAATGTGTATCCTCAATGAGGTAAAACTTGCCACCTAACGAATCCCCCACTGTTACTGCTACGATGTTCAAGACTCCCCACTCTACCTGCTGAGCCAGCCTTCCACATGTGATGGCAACGGCAGCGTAGTAAGGCCAAGTCATATCATTCATTAAACCAGCTGTGGTTAACCCTCCCGACATAAGGGCAGTAAAACCATACAGCCAAGGCTTTGTGTTGTCTCCAAGCTTGAGTGCTGTTGACTTCACACCAATCAGCATGTCATCGTATTTGTCCTGAAACATTGGTTGTTTTCTTTAAGACTCAAAAACTCAATGCTTTATACTGTAATAAACAAACAAGAAAGTGGTACAAATTTCTACCTTGAGACATACGTATGAATAGTTCCATGACAAAGTCTATTTTAATTTTGTCCACAAGTTTTGAAAGGAGAAAAATGAGAAAACATGTCTGCCACAAACAGTAGAATTTCTAAAAATTTTCCAAAAGTGGTCAGACATTGTGACTTGTGACAATGGAAATTAATTTACAGACTGTAACTCGAAGCTAAAACATGAGTATGGGGAAAACAAGCTATGTTTCTCTTTCTTGCCATATAGGACAAGTGAGTTTTTGCCAAGGAACTCTTTATCAATTCACCTCTTTCAACACATTTAGATGCTTCATAGAGCTCCAATAAAAGTGCAGTTGAAGTGCAACAAAATGCTTTTTTAAACAGAACAGTGATTACATGAGTGCATAAATCTATCTGCTGCTAGAAACACTTACATGTATATTCTAAATTACATAAATAAAACAACATTAGATTTATATTTAAGTCAATAAGTGTATAAAAAAAGTTATTGCAATCCTTTCAAGTCTTTCTTTCTAACACATTTCAATAAAGGAATTTTTAAAAGCCATCAGACAATTAAGGTCGTTCAGTACTCTAAAGAACCATAAAGTAGTCCTTCATAACATACTAAAATGCTAATTCAAACCACCTGACAAATCCCCTCCTCCCCAGCACACACAAGTCAGCACATCATTTATGCATGGGGCATGACAGCAAGTATATAATAACTGACAGCCCACATACTTTTGGCATGATAACCTAAAACTCAGGGCTCTGACCATCATGTATCACTTTCGACTGCCATTACAGGCACGCCTAATTGACGAAAGTCTGGATGTTACTGTGTCTTTGGAATATAATATAAACTAAATAAAGAATAAAAATAAACATAAATTCCACTTTACTGATCTGGCGGGAAATTTGTTTTATGATAACACACATAATCACACAAATAAATAAATAAAATGCATGAATAATACACAATGTCACAAACAATGACAATCCGCACACAATTGCTGGTCACCACTGTGCAGTGCCCTGTTTAAACTAAGTTAGGGTTATTGTGTGTTGCTCAAGGACCCATCCAAATGACCTCCCACCTAAAAGCTGTGTCACAGACATACACATGACATTGTGAACCTAAACTCACTAACCAACTTTGAACCTATACTGAATAGCCGACACGCACATTTCTTATTAAAAGAGGAATTGTAAAGCAGTAGCTCAATTCTGGAGTATTTCATAACAATCCACTGTGATCAAAACATACAGCTTTATAATTCTTTAGCTCGAAGGTTAGAGGTACCTTCATTTAAAATTCGAGTTCCGAAGAGTGTCTGGCTTCTTCTAAAAAGTGACGCAAAGGTCGGCTTCACCAGAATTATATCTCATATGTATAGATATTTGGACCTCAAACAAATTATTTAAAAAAATCCAATCCCCCCCCCCCCACACACATCTTTGCCGTTTTATTCATTCCTCTAAAAGTGTCATATTATACACACAAAAAATAGCTTTTTAAACAGCAAGGGGTTGGATCACTAGAGAATAGAACAAATTGTCGTATGGTAAGTCTCAACACTTGAAATACATGGGACATTTATAGTTAATTTCTTTAAAAAAGCGTCTTGTTCAACATTTTATAATAATACAGAGTCGGCAGTAAGTAAAGCATGCATTAGAGATTCCCGTATGCTTTTACCTATGCAGCTGTGAGCCAATACTGAACAGAATTTTAAAAAGTGGAATAGGAAATCAATGTCTCAATTCTGGAGTATTTCACAAACATACAGTGGAACTCAGATTCAGCAAAGTCGTCAGGCTTGACCTTCAATTTCCTTCAATCCGAGAGTTTGTTATAGCAAACATAAGGTTTTTGTGTAGATAATTACAGGCACCAAGCGAGAAATGTATAATGTATAATGTATTTGACTTTCTCAACCAAAAGTACTTTGGTTTCAATAGAGAGGAATTTTAGTTTCTATGATGCCATACGAAGAAATGCTGGAAAATTCCAGGAAAATACACTGAACACTACCAAGCACACACAGTGCAAAACGGCCAATTTTATCAAATGTACGCCTGTGTCATCTATCATCTATATTGTTCCATTGTTTCAGGAAGCAACATCCTTGCATTCCGGACATGTCCATTGATGCATCGTTGCTCTCTCCAAAAAGTTGCGAGGACCTTTCTACTGATTGTGCCGGTGCATATCTGGTTGAATGTTCTTCTGTTCTTTCCTTTAAGGGTGCCAGATTTTCTGCTTCCTTTTTGTACTCCCAAAACCATTATCCTCTCCACAGCAGTACTGGCCTCTGCCTCCTTATCTTCCTCTTTAATCAGGTGGCGAGAGAGACATTTCAGGATATCGACCTTGTCTGCTTGAACCATGATGTCTACTGAGGTGGCCTCACCAGCCAGTCTCTCGGCTTTTTCATTTCCTTTACTGCCTGCATGGCCAGGGCAGAAAATACATGTGAGCGATCTTATTGGCGTTGCTTCAATCAGTTGAATCCATTCTGGTCTCTGGAAACCTTTTTCGATCTTTCTAGGGGTACACATGGAATCTGTGATGAGAACAGCATGGGTTGTGTGGGGACGATCTTGGGCCATCCATTCAAGTGCTTTCGTGATGGCTTCAATTTCCATTCGCATATTTGATGTAGCCCTGCTGCAGGCTCCAGATGCACTGTGGATGATTTTATTGTTGGGAATGCAACAAATCCCCATCCACTTAGTTGGTTATCTCTTTTCACTGAGCCATCTGTATAAATTACAAGATCGCCTGCTTTCGAGTTTCTGTCAACAATCTCGATGATATCACTCTCGTTGACGGAAGCTGCAACATTTCTTCTGTCTCTGCCCATGCTTACTTCGACCTAGGTGAGGTCCCTGTATTCTCTGCCACCTGTGTCCATTCTTCGCCAAGTGGTAGATTTTCAGGTACACAGACTTTACTGAGAGAATCCTCTACTTCTGCCATCCAAGATTTTCCTCTTTTGATTCTGCCTCTCTTTTTGTCATGAAGTACTTTGTGTAGTGGATGATCTTTCTTGCCCATTACACTTAGATACATCTTTGCTTGCGCTATCCTACGGCATACTCTGATGCCACTTAAACCTAGCAAGAAGCGCATGTACAATATTAGAGTGTCCTTGGTGCAGCCCAGCAATGCTCTCATTACCTCATTCTGCATTCAATCCAGCTTTGTGATCTGTGTGTCAAACAGAGTGAGACAGTCCAATCCGTAATCAATGACAGATAAGACGACCAGCTGCAACATCAGGAAGAGCACTCTTTGTAGAGTCAGAGCGGCTGCCATGGTCTTGATTGCACCCACATTGGCCTTTGTAACAACATGATCCACATGCTATTCCCAGATACTTCAGCTCTGACTGTCTGTCGATAACCTCATAGTTGAAAGTGATTGGAGGAGTTATGTCTTGAACAATCCTGTTACGAGGGAACACCAAAGTACCTTTGCTTTTGAAGGATGGATAACTGCTTCATTTTGGTCGTACCATTTAACAACAGAGTGAAATCTTTTCTCCATGTTCCTTGCCAGCTGAAGTCTGTCATCTCTGTGCTTGTATGCCATTAAGTCATCTGCAAAGCTCAGGACACGTCCAGATTCCTTCTGATGCATCATTACCTGTGAAGTGTACACATTGAAAAGCACAGGAGAAAGGGGGGATCCTTGGGGCAATCCTGGAGAAATTGATATGGGATCTGAAGTCCATTCACCCCGTCTCAGAGCCATTTTTCTCTCCACTAGGGCTACAGCTACTCATCTTATCAGCCATATGTCCACATCAAATTCCAGGAGGCCGTCGATCAAACGTTCATAGTTGACCCGGTTGTAAGCATCTTCAAGGTCAAGTGCCATCACAACTGTTTTCTTCCGCTGCTGAAAGCCTTCATAGATGTCATACGCCACGACTGCTGCATTCACAGCAGTTTCTTGATGGGGTCTATAGCTGCCAAGCTCATTTGGTAACGGTGACTTCTTCTCAAAGTGTGCTGATATCCGTCCAGAATTTTCTCATAGGTGTTCTGCATGGCTATGATCCAGTAACCACTGAGAGCCGAATGGTCTTTTCTTGGTTTGGGGATTGGTTTCAAAGAGCTGTGCAACCATTCTTCAGGGATTTTGCCAGTGCCAGTGCTCATGTTGAAGTTTTTTGTCATTTCTTCAATCATCTCATCGTCTGCTTCTTTCATACGGCAATACCTTACACTATTCTGCCCTCCAGCACTGTCATAGGCATGTTTTAATGTTCGGGAAACCTCTTCGCATCCTCGTAGTTTGCATACATCTGTGGGGTCAGCGCATTTGAAATATCTCTTTCAACTTCCTTTCTTGAGTCTATATTTCCCAGGTGTGTTTGACGTATGAATCGGTCCAAGAAAGCCCTTCCTTTCTCTTCATCAGTTTGGAGTGTCTTTCCTGACTCGTCCTTCACATTCACGGTGGTTTTTGAGTGACCCTGTCCACATATCTTCTTTTGCAGTTTCCAGAACTTTGAGAGTGCCTTCTCAGCTGCAATGTTTTTCACAAACTCTTCCCACTTTGTCTTTTAAGTCCTATCTGCTTCAGCTTTGAACTTATCTCGAGCCTGCCTCATCTTCTCTTTAGCTGCCTCCCTTTCTTCCTGTGACATTGGGTTTCTTCCTCTTTCTTTGCAAGTCCTTAACAGCTTTCCTCTTCTCTTTCCACAGGCAATCAATTTCCTTGCTCCACAATGGTGGCTGTGCAACATTAGATCTTAAAGGTTCTCTGTTCCAGGTTTTCTTTCTCAGGCCTCCCAAGGCCGAGGTGTCTGGTTTGTACTTAAACACCCTCTTGACCTTTTGTTTCACTGCCTTTGCACCCTTTGATTACAGTCCATGCCGGCTTTAAGCACGGTCATCGGGAGAAAGCTTAAGCGCGCTTAAAGC